AACCCACCATGCTCAGTATATGGGGCTGGTGCCCTACCCACTGAGCCACAGGTGCTGCCCCATCAGACCATTTTCTTTCTTTTCTTTTTTTAAGACAGAGTCACAGGTGGCTCTAAAAGACAGAGTCTCAAGCTGTCACCCTCAGTACTGAGTGCCATGGCATCACAGCTCATAGCAACCTCAAACTCTTGGGCTCCAGTGATTCTCTTGCCTCCCTTTAGCTGGGACTACAGGCACCTGCCACAATGCCTATTATTATTTTTTATTTACGGTTGTCACAGTGGTTTTAGATGGCCTGGGCCAGGTTTGAACCTGCCAGCCTTGGGGTATGTGGTCAGCGCCCTACCCACTGAGTGCCACCCTATCAGACCATTTTCTTTTGAACTTTCCCTCCCACCCTTGTCATGCTAACCCTTCCTTGTACTTCCAGTTCAGTTCAGGTGTTCTCTAAGAAAGCCTTTTCTAGACACACCTCATCCATCTCCCACAATAGGTACACTAGATCTGGGTTAGGTGTACTATGTTTCCTCAGTACCCAGTGCAAACACACATCTATTAGAGGTCTGATCTCATTGTGGAAAAATATAAGCTAGGTTGGAGGTTTCTTGAGGGGAAAACTTATGTCTTCTATTTGTTACGTCCATCGTGGTAAGTGACATACAGCAAATGTTAAACTAGTGAGCAGCAGGCAGGGAAATGAAGAAGGACTCATTTCCTCTTCTGCAAAGTAAAAGGGGTGGCATTTATGAACATTATTTTCATGGCCATAGAGACTTATTTTGCTTATTTCTTGGTTCATTGTTAAGAAATTCCAGTGTTACTAAATTGACATGAAGGGATAAGTATTTTATTAAAATGTTAGGGTTAAAATTTTACTCCTTTAGCTAATTTATTCTAGCCAGTGAATTCTTCTTAATTGGGACAGACCTTTACAAAGATCAGCTTTGGTTGAGTTGCATTTCCATTTTGGTGTGGAAATGGTATGACCTACCGCCTCTTTGCCTCTGGCATATTTTAACTCCTCATTCCACAACTTCTGCTGTTCAGCTTCCAAGTCCTTGGTTAATTTATTAATAGTCTGCTGTAATTCATTTCTTTCATGATTTATTCTCTCAATGTCTGCAACTGAGTACTTCTGGTTTTCAATAATATTCTGTAGTCGAGCGTTCTCCTGTTTTATTGTTTCATATTCTAGTTCTGTATTGGAAAAAAAGAAAATAATTTTTTTAGAGATGGTGGGTCTGGAAATACACAAATTATTAAAGTTTTAAAAATTCCTAGAAAGAAACAGATGACATTATTTAATATGGCTAAGATATCTAAATTCCCAAGTTATATGCATATATATTTTGTCTTTTTGTAGATGATCCTGTTTGACTCCACTCTGTTAATAACATTCTTGAAGAAGACCACAATTAAAGTTTCATGTTAGAAACGTATTTCCCTATTGGCTTGCTATGGTTTTCAGAAACTGCTACTTGAAAAAAAAAAAAAAAAAAAAAACTGTGTCCTCTTCTACAATGATTATAATTAGGAACCCTGGGGCTACCTACATGCTGGGCTTCATGTGAATGGCCCAGAGTGGAGCCCAGCCGAGGAGGAGGGGATGCTCTAGGTTTCTGGGGCATGGTTGCTCAGTGCCAGGGCTGGGCCGAGGAGCTGTACCAGGAGGTGCTGATATTTAAAGATACTACCCGAAATTCATAATGTTAAAAAACAGAACTTTTGTAATAATACTAAAGATCATTCCATTGTTCTTCCTTGAAGAAAGAGCTCTGATTTCACTAATAAGATAAAGAGGCTTGGCACCTGTAGGTAAGTGGTTAGGGTGCTGGCCACATGCACTGGGGCAGGAGGGTTCGAACCTGGCCTGCGCCTGCTGAACAACAACAACTGTAACAACAAAAAAATAGCTGT